GCATAGATTATTGAATCTGATTAGACCGTTAGCATCCCGCTCAAAAATGACCTAAGAGTTTCGATATTTTTCCTACTTAAAACTTGGCTCTTCTGTAGTTACATCGTGTACTAAGACCGACGGAAAATGAAAAGGCCGATATGGCTAGGAAAATAGGCGCCTGAAAATAGTCCCCAGCACGCTCCCTGTGCAAGCAGGTGGTCATGTTGGTTATGTTGACGGAAGTTAAGCCTATTTTCAGGTGCTGTGTAATATCAGTGCGCCTGCTGCACCCATGGTACGGCAGCAAAGTTCCTTGATTATTACGCCGGAATGAGAGTATAGTTCCTAGCCATATCGGCCTAGAAAATCGCAACTTTTCATTTTCCGTCGGTCTTAGTACACGATGTAACTACAGAAGAGTCAAGTTTTAAATAGGAAAAATATAGAAACTCTTTGGTCATTTTTGAGCGAGATGCTAACGGTCTAATCAGATTCAATGATCTATGTTAAGCTACAGCTAAAAGTGCTACCGCCAGACCCGGAGATCGTCTGAATGGATTCGAAAACGGTAAAACTCAACTGTTTAACTCTAGGGGAGTTGGAAAATGAGCCTATTTTCAAAAATACTGGAGTGTTCCTTTAAGTTGTGGCAATTCAAAGATTGATGACAGCCATGGAACTTTGAACTAGGTAAAAGTGCTTTCATATTATCATCAGAGTGACTTTCACATGCTATAAACTTACACTACCATACGATTTTTTCCTTTCTTTACGTTTTAAGTTAAATTGATCAAAAGTGACAGGAAAGACATTTTTAATGCTAAAAAATATTTCAAATAAATGCTGTACTTTTTGAACTTTCACCCCATGGTGAACAAAAATATTAAGCAGCACAACTGTTTTCAACACTGATAGTAATAAGCAATGTTTCTTGAGCAGCAAATCAGAATATTAGAATGAATTCTGAAGGATAATGTGACACTGAAGTCTGGAGTAATGATGCCATCAAAGGAATTAATTACATTTTAAGATACATTAAAACAGTCATTTTACATTATAATAATATTTCAAAATATTATTGTTTTTACTGATTTTTTTTTTCTTCACTGCTTTTGATGTTTGCTTGGTGATGGGTCTGCATTATCTTGAGCATCCATGCAGGTTCTTTACAATCTAATTCTGAGGCATTGGGCAAGTATGGTTCTCTTTGAGTTCCCGAAAAAGTTTCTAATGCTAACTCTAAGAGCTTGGACTCTTTGAAGTCTAATCTTACTGAATGGTTTCCGCTATCTATGTGCGCATCGTCCTGTTTTCATCAATCTCTCTAATGTTGTTCTATTGATGACAGATGGGTTTAGCAACACTTGATGCTAACCCTCTTCATTTAGTATAACAACACATTTCCTAAGTCTGCTTTAACTTTTTAATCACACTTGATCTTGGATTTTCTTTGGATCATGTTGCCTTTTCTTGAAGTCCTGCTCACTGTATTCCATTTAGGAGCAGTGGCCGAGGTGGCCTCAGTAGCAGAAGCAGCTGCGGTTGTGGAAACCACAGCATCTGAACTTGCCACAGTTGTTGAGGCCACAGCAGCACAACCCGTCATTGAGGTGGTTAATGCAAAGGCTGAACAGACCCCAGAACCTGTGGATGCTACACTGGATGTTGGGGCAGCAACTACCATTGTAGAGGCAGTAGCAGCTGATGCTGAGGAACCTACTGCACCTGTTGTTGAGGATGTTGCTGCTGAGGCTGCTTCTCCCAGTACTGAGACAACCGGTGAGGCGTCTTCTGCTGAGGAAGCAGTCTGAATCCCCAGCAGTCTAGATATGTGATTCTTCCCAACCCACCTTGGAATGCTGCATTAACTTTTAGAGACTCCCATTTTTGTGCTCCTTTTAACTGATTGACTGTGTCCTCTTCACAAAAAGAAGTGTCCCTTCTGAACTCCACAGGGTGCTAATCCCACAGTTGAGGAGGAGGAGAGGTTGAGGAAGTCCAAAAATCAGTGGCAACGCTTTTCAATTCCAAACGGTGGTTTTATTATCCCAGTCTGTGTTTTGATGCTTGAATATCTAATGTAAATCGCATATGATTTTGTAACATCTCCTCCTTCACATCCAGTGGATATGCCTGCTGTAATACTGTGTCCCTGCAGTATAACATATTGTGTCTCATACGTGTGCATGGAGACATTTTTCTTAAATAGCTTCATATTGACGATGACTTTTACTGTCAACATGCTAATATTTTATGGATAAGTAGGTTTGTGCGTTCTTCAGAACTGAATGCTTTTTACATTCCAGGTCCGTTCCTATTTCAATGGTATTGAATTTAATTTGAACTGAGATAGTAAACAGCATGCAGAATTGTGATTTTTAAAGGGATACTCCACCCCAAAATGAAAATGTTGTCATTAATCACTTACTCCACTCTCCGCATCACCGTAGCCCCATTTTGGAGAATATCCACTGAACGCAAACAGCGTACGCTATTCTGTGTCAGCCGCGCTGCACGGATGCGCTGTTTTCGTTCAAATCAAAGCTTAAATACATGTAGAAAATGTATCCTTGTGTCGCGGCTGACACAGAAGAGCATACGCTGCTTGCGTTCAGTGGTTATTCTCCAAAATGGGGCTACGGTGATGCGGAGAGACACAGAGGAGACGAATTGTTAAATAAAGTCGTTATTTTTGTTTTCTTCGTGTACAAAAAGTATTCTCGTCGCTTCATAACGTTACGGTTGAACCACTGATGGCAGATGGACTATTCTGACGATGTCTTTCATACTTTTCTGGACCTTGACAGTGTAATTTACTTGGCAGTCAACCGGACAGTCACAAGCCTCCTGGTTTTCATCCAAAATATCTTAAATTGTGTTCGAAGACGAACAAAGCTTTTAGGGGTTTGGAACGACATGGGGGTAAGTGATTAATGACAAAATTTTCATTTTGGGGTGGAGTATCCCTTTAATTTAAGGAACTAGAATTAAAATGAACTGAAAGTCAAAGGAATTTATGTAAGTGCAATAACTGTAATTTTAACTAGAAAAAGAAAGTTAATCAAGACAAACTTTAAATGATGGCTTGACAACCTTGTTGTGTAGAACTTGACAAAGTTTAATTTCAGCCTTATAGACAGACAGAGAAACAAATATAGAGCTGTTTGAAATGTCACCTAACCATCTTTAGCCGCTTTAGGTAAATAACTTGAAGAATAACAAATTGCAATTAACAGTAAAATAAATGAATATTCATAAAATAAATTAAAATAATATGATAAAGGACGGAAGCGTTGCGCATTTGGTTAAAAACAAAGTGGACAGACATGAATACTTCATTTATATATAATTCTTCTTATAGGGTAGAAGAACACTTGATTGACTTGGTGGCCAAGTTTTCGATTCTGAATTTTGCCCAATCCTGATACCTACAATAAAATGTGTCTTACGTTTTGGAGGTGCCTTTCTGCACATGCATTCAAAATCACTGTGGCCTAATAAGCAACTCTTCCTTCAAGGGAGATCACTTTTTTTATGATTTGCCATTGTTTTTCTACCTGTGAATGTCCTCTCTCAGTTATTGAGATGGAGGAAATCCACTGTGCCTTTTACTTTTTTTTTTATTATTATTTTAAATATCTCTTAAAATTTGAACTATCATGGAAACATAATGCCAGTGTCACTTACATGTCATGGCACTGGAGACATTTGCTCTTAATCTTGATGCTGTTTTTGAATTTAGGCTCAACCAACTAAGAACTGAAGTTGATTGCCGTTTTCAAAACTGACAAAATATTTGTATTCCTTAACGAAAGTTTTTAAAATATGATTATTTTTGAGTCTGAATTCAGTGCTATAGCAATTTTTGATTCCTTTACGTCATGAACTGTAAATGAAATATAAGCAAATTGTCAAAGTGTATTTACTTTATATTTAGTATTTCTGTATATTGTGTACACTTGTAGAATAGCACCGTATTGTGTATGATGCTTTGCTTAGTTTTGATAATCCGCTCTTAAAGTCCATTTACGTAATGACTAAGCATCTCTTAGTGTTAATCTGAGTAAATCTTTCTAATGTGTGTTGATTGTTTCATCACTAATCGTAGAGGTTTATGCCACTTATGGTGGCTTAAGGAGATTTCCCAATGGCACCACCTTCAAATCTAGCTTTAACCCTTGTGTGGTGTTCATATTTTTGTTATTCCGACAGTGTTCATGGGTCTGGTGGACCCGCTGCATTTTTGGGTTTTTAATTCAACACAATCAAAAATGTATGTTAAAATACTCAACGGATGTTTACTTCATCCCAATTACAAGCAATATAAACAGCATATATGGTTAATATTTGCCTTTTACCTTTGTTAGACCACATTTATGAATTAAAGTACTGCAAACTTGTGCGGGAAAAGCAGGGGCAGAAACACAAAACTCACACTCACACTCACACTCTCAGACTCTCTCTCTCTCTCTCTCTCTCTCTCTCTCTCTCTCTCTCACTCACACACACACACACACACACACGCACACACACACACTAATAGCAGGCCCAGACAGGAGGAGGACAGAGGGAAGGTACACAGGACCTACAAATTCCACACTTTTATTAGCCCCGAGTCCAGTGGACCCGATCATCCTGTATGTTATATAAATGTGTGTGTGTGTAATATAAAATTTGTTCTGATATATGTTCTTCACAGAAAAGGAGCCAAGGCCAATGAGTCTGAGTTTGAAAAAATAATTAATAATATCATACAATGGGTATTGTAGATATATAGCCATATATTGCAAACATATGTCAAGGACATGATATTGAGAATCTCCTTTAAATCCAAAGGCATCTGCTAAATCCATAAATGTAGTGCTATTTTAGTATCATTGATATACTATTATTGTTTTTGTTATTACCTGTATTAGATTTTATTTTTTTAAGTTAAAGTTTTAGTAATTTTGTGTGTTTTTGTAATTTTAATTTTTTTATGTATATATAGTTTTAAATCTTTTATTTTTAGTTTATTTAGTTGTAGGTGTTTTAGCACTTACACTTAAACTAGACAAGAGAAATGTTGCCTTGGCAACTATCTGAAATTACTATTATTTTAAAAATATTTTATTTTATTTCAGTTAATGTTTATTTTATTTCAAGTAATTATTTATTATTATTATTATTATTAATAATAATAATAATACATTTTTAATGGTTTGATTCTGTAGAATTTCCCTCATCATCAGAGAAAAATAAAATAAATAACAAATAACAGAAAATGCTAATGTAAAGTCCATTGATTTTGTGGCTCTATTTATGGCATATTTTTTACCTATATGTTTTTGTAATAAACTAATCTGGTTGCAGTTATCTCAATGTCTGACCTACTGAGCACTGTAAAAATCCTGGCTGGATCTACAGTGGAGATTGCAGCTGCTTCAGTCGGGGATCAGCACCTGGTGGCCACAGTGAGGTTGGCTGAGGAGAACAATTCTGTGGAAACCCTCAATGGGCTGGAGGTTGTTGATGTTAAAGCAGAGGTCCAAGCAGAAGTTCCTTAGGAAGCTGTGGTTGAGGAGGCTGTAACAGGTGGATCACATCTGAAACCAGAAGGAGGAGAACTGGAAGAACTGCCTTCAACAGTTCATGCAGTAGAAGAAACTACTATTGTGGCAGATGACCATGAGGCAGACAGCCCTAATGTGGCTGAAGTTTATGTTGGAAGCTCTGCTTCATCAGAGGAGGCCTCTGTTACAGAGATGGAGAACATTTTGGAATTGGAAGAGTCAGTAAGCCGTGTGGTGATGCTGTCAGAAGATGACACCATCTCTGGAGCTGCAGAGGCAATGTCAGAATCAGCCAAGGCAGTAGGTCAGAAAATGGAAGAAGATAAAGCATTATGTCATGAGCCAACTGAAGCTACAGAAACAGGACATGCAGATATCACAGCACCATCAGCAGACCTGGAGGATGCATTACAGGCTATAGGCACAACAGAGGCTACAGAAGAAGTTTTTGTTGTGGAAACGATGCAGGATGCTGTGGAGGAAGCTAAACCAGTTGTGTTGTTACCCAAACAAGTATTGTGATGTAGAAATCCAGACTGCACACATATTTCTGAAGTAGAGTTCATTTATTTTTAATTGGACATTAGTTTTAGACATTCAGTCATGTTTGCTTCTTTTTTCCACAGCTGCTGAAAGTGGAAATATTACAATGACCATGGCACAAGCCTGAAGTGAAGACACTGAAAGCGAGTGAAATCTGTAACGTAATACATACAGTACTGCTGTTATAGGCATGAAAAAAAACTCTGATTTACTTTGTGTTTCCACCTCAAAATTGTAAGGTAAGATGGGGTAAGTTGACCCCTCTACCTTAAATGACCATAGATGACACAAAATCTCACATTTAGTGAATTACTATGATCTTAGTTTTGTCATTTACAGTTTTACAGCTTACAGCTCTAACAAGTCAATAGTGTCATTATACTGCTTAAGTCAGTTCAGTGTTGATTCAGTTCAGTTTAATAACTGTAAAGTTCATCAATTGTACATATACAGTGTAGTTTTTACATGTACGTGTGAGTGCTGATAGACTCCTGTGTGCTCCACTGCACAATGAACAAACAAAAGATACAAGATAATAGTGTTTTACATTTGTCATATCCGTGTGTAATTTGGTGTGTATATGGCTAATCATTTGATGTTTGAGTACTCTGCAAAAACACAATTTTTATAAGAATTAAAACTTCAAAAACGTACTTTTGTAAGCGATGTGTAATGTTTCGCATGTTTGTGGTTTTGTATGTATGAGTTTAGAGAAGAGGAACCATATTTTCAGAAATTCTAAGCAATTTTTAAAAAACTGTAATCTGAAAAACAATATTTGTGAGATTTAGCTATACTTAAGGCAGTTTTGTGTATATTTTGTGTCTCCTGAAATTAGCGACACTGTATTATGTTGAATATCAAAGGTTTTGTGTTATGTTAATGCACTGAAAAAAATGTTTCATTCATCCATTTAAAAAAAGGGCAAGTTATTTATTTTTCATTGGCTCAAGTTAAAAAATATAGATGTGAATCATTACCCTAAATTTTTTTAATTGGATGAATGAAACATTTTTTTCAGTGCATTAACATAACACAAAACCTTTGATATTCAACATAATACAGTCAGATATGGTGTGGTGGGACACCACCATCCAGGACAGCAATCCCACATGAAGATGAACACAGAGACCATCCAGTCTTCCGTAGATGGCCACTGCTGCAGGAGATATAAAGCAGCATCCCGGTCCAGTATGGGTGTTTCAGATGCTGTGATGAGTGGAGGTCTCCATTTGTCCAATCCGATGTGAAGTGTAGTGGAGAGAAGACTAACTTTGAGCATGAGAGAGTTTCACCCACTTTTAATGGCGTTCTGCTTGTGCTTGTCAAACTCAGTTCCTGGAGGGCCGGAGCCCTGTAGAGTTTAGATTGAACCCTAATTAAACGCACCTGATCCAGCAAATCAAGTCCTTCAGGCTACTTTGAAAACTACATGGTTTGTGTGTTGGAGCAGGATGAATATACTCTATCACTCTTTCAGTCATTCACTGTACAGGGCATTCACTGTAGGCCTAAAGTGCTAATGATCACATAGTTCAATATTTGGAGTTATCGAAAGCAAATACAGACATCTGATCATACAATCATTAAACTGTCGAAAAGTCGCTATTGAAAACATAATTCAAAACCATATCATTGTTATTATGGATATTAGTGAAACAATAAACCTGTTATGTTATTTCACATATAGGCTACATTCGTTTTACTGACTATAAAAATCCACTGTAAAATTGTTTTTCAGACATCATTTTATCTTATAAATTTCCTGTTAGAATCAAAATTTTATCATTAACCTATATATATTTCCACATAAAAGAATTTGTGTTTGACAAATAGACAATAATATTGTTTGTTACAATAGAAATTATGTATCAATGTATGTATTTAATTATATCAGAAGTCAAACAGCAGGTGGCGCTACAAGTATGTTTTTTTTTTGTCATTATACAAGAAAAACATAAAATTACCAAGGCATTATTTGTGCAATAAAACGAGAACATGAATATTAATATGCTTACACAATTGTTACCAGATATGTATGGCATCAATCCTGGTAACATTTATATATATATATATATATATATATATATATTTACATTAACAATGTAATCAATATTCTGTTTATTAATGCCATGAATCTCATCAAGTTAGTGTTTTTAAGCATTTACATTTATTCCAAAATAATAACTCAACGCAGTAACAATTTAAATAATATATTTTATTTGTGAACGTATGTTCAGCTACTATTTTTAATAGTTAACTTTTAACTATTTTTTAATTATTCGGTTCAAATGCCATATTGTTCATTTATTTCAGACTAATTCACGAAAGTGGAACGCGCATGAACACAAGAGGCGGTATTTATCGCATGAACCAATCACAGCCAAACATAACCAGTCAGATCCAGTCATATCGCGATGGAGGTATTGCCTTCTCTCTCTCACGTGATTTCCCCCCATTCATCTCAATTACCCCCCACCAAACTCCCAGCACGCTTTAGGGGGTCTGTTAAAACTCAATGGGCTCAGGGGAGGCGAGAAAGACGCGGACTCCTGCTGTAACTTTACCTGCTGGTGTCGCTGTTGCACAATGTGTGTGTGTGTGTGTGCGTGTGTATATATATATATATACATATATATATATATGTTTTTGTTTTTACTTTTTAAATGGTTTATATTTACCCCACAAGAATGTGACAAGAATGTCCACTTTTCGTTTTGTAGCTTAACTATCTCTGACTTTTCGATTTCAATTTAAAAGTACTTTATTGGCATGATACGATATCGCCAAAACGACAAGTAATGACAAGGAAAATAAATATACCACATAACAATAACAAATAGCAATAAAAAATATTAAAATAAGGTGCTAAGAACTGAATAAAACTTAAGATTATATATATATATATATATATAAGATCAAGGAAATAGCTGGTTTCTGAGGGTGTGCACTGTGCAGCTCTCTCTCTCTCTCTCGTTCGTTCGTTCGTTGTCATTCTTACTACATCATGACTCTGACCTGGATCTACTGTCTGCAAACACATCCCCTCCATGTCCTCTCTGCTCGAGCATTGTAAGGGACTGAGTTGACTTGGACTAGGGGTCTTGTGTTAGCGGCCCATCAGTCAGTGTAGTTCAGTGTGTCGCTTTAAACCCGTATATATGTGTGTATGTAATGATCAGGTGTGTTAGCGCTTAGCCGCTAACGGCCACAGTCTGACGGACTCTTACCCACCACAGCTCTCAGCGTTTCTTAAGTTTGTGTAAACCAAACAAGCACAGAGTGTGGGTTTCATTTGGAAAATCAGCTTTTCAAGGTAAGAAATCCACTTTTATGTATTCCATACCACGAAGAAGCATTAGCAGGGACTATGCGATTATATTAGCTTAGCTCTGTGTAACGAAGATAATGGGGCACTTTACGGTGCTTTTTAGTTTCGATTTACAGTATAGAGTAACTCCAACATGTAGTCACATGTTTTATCGTTTATCTGTTTAGAAGTGTCTATATTTGTTGTGTTGTGAGCTCATCTGTGCCGTATTTGCTGGCTGGCTAAGCTAAATGCTGGCAAAGAGTTGACAACTATAAGCATTTACAATTCACTGTTCGTATCTCCTTGTTTTGTATTAAGATCGAGTCTTTATGGAAGTAAAGTGTTTAAAATCAAACTAGCATATGTGACTATCATAATTTAGCGTTGAAATGTATCGCTTGTTTGGTGTTGCAATAATGTCAGTGATGCATCACTGTTCACAAGGTTTATGCCAGAGGAAAGCAGTTTTTCCCCCCCTTTAAAGAGCACAGGGATACTTAAAATGATGGTTTCCCTTTTAAGGAACCGAGATAACATTGGTGTGTGGTATTTCCTTCAGTGTTTATATTGTAACGCCCACTTATTTGGAAAGAGTACAGCAGGATCAGGGCTTTGTTGTAGTCACTGGTGTAAACAGTGATTTTTACACGCACTCTCATGGTAAATGTCAGGATTGTATTTGTTGGCATGTAGCAGTGAACAGTGTTACAGTGAAGTGCATGCCTCTGGTAAGATCTCATATGCAAGGCTTTACTTTTGTGTTGAAATCATGCCACAGACTTTTTTCATAGGGTTTGATCAATTCCCTTGGCAAGGCATGCTGTTAGTCTATCTAGGGCTAGGCCACTGATCTTTAGCTACATTTAGACCAGGGGTTTTTAAACTGGGGTTCAGGGACCCCCAAGGGGTCGCAAATAAGTGCTGAGGGTCTATAGAAATGTTTACAGAAAAATAATAAATAGATATATTAAATATAGTACTGTGATGAATAGAAAAATAAGATTAAAACAATCAAATTAGATTAAAATGAATGGATAAACATTAGATTAAAAATAGATGAAAATAAATAAATGAGTAAATAATACTCATAATAATGAGTAAATAATAAAAATTAGGTTAAAAGAAATTAGTAAATGAATAAATAAATACAGTACTGTAATCAATAAAAAGTAAGATTAAAATAATCAACAATTCGATTACAATAAATGTATGAACAATAGATTAAAATAGATTAGATTAAGTAAATAATAAAAATTAGGTTAAAAGAAATTAGTAAATAAATACATAAATACAGTACTGTGATGAATAGAAAAAAATAAGATTAAATTAAAAATTCGATTAAAATAAATTAATAAACATTAGATAAAATAGATTAGATTAAGTAAATAATAAAAATGAGATTAAAATAAATGAGTAAATGCTAAATAAAAATTAGTTTAAAATAAATGAGTAAATAAACAAATAAATACAGTACTATGATGAATAGGGGAAAAAAAGTAACAAGGTAACTTAATAAAAACTAAATATTTTCCAAATAATGTTTTAGACACATTTTTAGCATAAAATGTTCACAATATAAATTTAATCTTTATACGAAGATGAATATAGATGTCTTTGGATGGATGTCGCTCACACAAGGATGGTCAAATTAGTGGTATTTAAAAGATTGAAAACCCCTGATTTAGGCTGCTGAGAGTGGAGGGAAGTGCTGAAGTCAA